ATGAAGTACGACAGATTGTCACAGGGAAAGCGACGAGACGAAGGAGAAACTCAAGTCAAAGAGCGAGCTGATTAATTTTATTGCATAGTTTGTCATTTATTAGTGGCAATTCATTCAATGGTTAAACCGGCACGGCATTCGACGATCGAGACTAACACGGTGACAGAGCTTTTTCGGTCGCGGGCGAGGCATTGCCAGCCTAGATCAGATTGGGATGTCGGTTCTCTAAAGTACCTAGTTCCTAGACAGGTGAGACAGGGCTGGCGCTATAGATCGTTAGTTAACGGCATGTCTTAGCCCACTGTCGACGCCCGCGCCCGCTATTCAAAGTCAGCCAGCCCTTGAATCAGTACCTACTCTCCAGGGTCCCTAGCACCCAGTTCAGTGAGTTATGATAAACGTTACCACGTATGTATAAGCTTAGTTCAACCACCTACGAGCAAACTTTGAATGCAAAAGACTTCGAAGTTCGAGTCCAGGATACTCGACAAGTCGGTTCGGGATGTATTCCAATACAGTTCAATAGGAAGAGTCCGGTTCGGCAATAGACCCGTTCGCCACTGGGGCTGACTCCGACTTCGGTAAATGGATAGCTCCATCCAATCCAATCCACTTGGACAAATGCATCCATTGATATGGAGAAACACTTGCAAACTAGAAACATGGAAAGTTTCTGTGAATCTTTTCTGAGCATTCTATTATTATTATTATTAACATTCTGAGATCTCCGACAGATGTTTGATGTTGTCGCAATTAGATTGTGCAATCCGACGCTATAGTGCCAACCTAAGATGCTACCCCTCCACTCGTAACAAACATCTTATGTATTCAACAAGCTACCTTACTTATTTTCCCACCTCTCGTAAGGAAAACAGCATCAGCTCAAGTTCCCCATCTGAGCTTTGTCGTTAGATGAGCATCCATTGAATCGTAGGGCTGCGGGTTTCGACACCGTCTTTACCGTAGCTCAATTATTTAAGCCCCAGTTGATATCCATTGCAAAAATCCCCGGAACGGTTACAAGACTTCCGAGAGACAACTGTCAAACCACATATCACATTGTGGCTACACGGTTCACTCGGCTGTTTTGTACATCTTTACCGTTTCTGTGTGGCTCCTTGCGTTAGATAGGTACCGCTGTCTTTATTAACCCAGTCATGCAGCCAGCCTCAGTCTTTCAGCTTTGCCTGGCGCATGCCAACTATCGAAAGGGGCACACTGCACTAAAAGCCACAACGCAGGGAATACGAGCCGTGCTGCAAGGCGTGCCTGGGACTACTGTGTGATAAGTATTCATGTATTGCGGGATCTCACGATTGGTAGATTAGTTTTTCGTAGGATGAGCTGGTTTTCTTAAGCTGATTGTACGAAGCAAAGACTCTTTGTTTTGTTTATATGACCACCAACATGATAGGTGCGTCAATCCTATGCAATGCCAAACATGGCAACGAAGAATGAACGACGAAGTGCCAAATCAGTTACACCAGATTTGGAATCTAACTCTTGTATACTTAGGTATATACAATCGATCATCCTCTACGTTGTTTCTGCCACGAGCATTCTCCCATTGCAATATAAGAACTGTAGGGTATGACAGTTGGACAGAACTCCCTGCCTGTTTATGATTTCATCACAGTTGGTGGAGCTGACGATGTGTATTAGCGCCTCCAACGGCCCGCACCCGCACCCGTAACCGTACCCGTCTTATAACAAGCGCCGGGCGCCTCCTCATGCGTACAGAATTTCATTTCATCCCGTTTCCACTGTCAATACTATATCTAACTCACTGTCCGTCTCCAAAAACATGGAAATGAATGCTAGTGGAAATAGGGAAGGCATATTTGGGAGGCCTACCATGGTACGTCGCCTGACCATGATGTGAAACATTGCGAGGCACCCATCCATAATTCAACATGTGCTGCGGTTTGCCGCCTATCTTGCCACGGCCACTACTCTACGCGCCTTTCAACCCCGGATAGCGACATGGATAGACTTAACCAAGTAGGCTGGTTGGTCAACACTGTCCCACAAAGGCAACAGTCTTGTTGGTTGAGATTCGTTAATAGAGGCAGTGCTCTTGTCTGTTGGGATTTAACAACTCGTTCTTAAATGACTCGTCCAACCCATAGAAGCTGGCTGTGTTCTCATATTCGTAGTAACTGTGTATTGCGATTTATTCTTTGTTTTAACTGTTAGCTCATATCATAAGCATTCATCGTCTGATTCACAACTGAGGATGGACGTCGCCGCAAGTATTATTGCATTTGTCCAAATCTCGACAGAAATTGGGAAATGTATAATCAAGACGAAGAGATTGTGGGACCAAGCCCAAGATCTACCTCAAGAAACGTCGTTTCTTCTGAACCGTCTACAAGGCTATAAAGCTATATTTGAGACACTTGGTCAGCAATATCCAAACCAGGAATCTTTCAATATGCTGCCTACATTTTCGTTGGTGCAAGATAACCTCCGAGCTTCACTGGAGGCACTTGAGGAGCTTAGAAAAAACGCGGATTATATATCCACGAAACTCGAAGTCAAGACTGGCCTGAAGCGGAAGCTAGCCGCTGTCAAGATAGTCATTGGAAAGGAAAGCTCAGATGGGCTCACCACCAGACTTAATGAGGCAATATCAATGCTGTGCTTAGCAGTACAGGCCTGGCACATGTAAGTATTGACATGACGGGGACTAATACAGAGCTTGCTTGTGAGTAGTAACTAATGATATTCGTCAAGGACTATCTCGATAATGACACCTGATCTAATTGCAGCTCAGCTCACCAAAACACTCAACGACCACTGCACAAGCTCTAAATTTGAGAAACAACCACAGATCGAGGCCCAAAAGCAAGATGAATCTCGCGGCCATGTCATAGAGATTGATGAATCTGAACTGACACGTATCCCGAAAGACAATGCAAAGCTCAACAAGAAATATACCGCTTCGAGATTTGGCCGTTTCACCATGGCCTATGCCACCACCACTGGTGCCTGGCAGGCGTATCTTCAACTGCCAAGTTGGCTTTCATCGTCCGTATATGAACTACAATCGACTCGAACTGGCTATGGCTGGACGTACAACTTTCGGGTGTACAACGTCGTTCCATATAAATCTGATATTATTCAGAGAATACTAAATGGAGATAGGGCTGGTGTTCTTGAGCTATTCAGAAACCGGAAAGCATCTCCGTTCGACAAAGATGAATATGGACACTCGCTTCTTTATGTATGGCAGCAACCTTGGACACTGCTAGAATTGATTACTCATTTGAATCACAGTGGGCTGCGACTGGCAAGAACTTCGACATCTGTCAGTTGCTACTTAGCTTAGGGCTTCATGAAGCTTTGCTTGAGCAAGTTGGCAAAACTGCCCAAGCGTAAGTTCTACGCAATAGCCATGCGATAAGTTCTGACATACTCTCAGGGGTGCATTGGCACCGCCAGTGTACGATCCCGATCGACAACACCCGGAGGAAATATGGCTAAAGATTGCAGACTTATTTCAGTCATATATGGATGAGCCAGAGACAAGCATGGTTCTGCGTATGTTCGACTATCACAATTCCTGCGATTATGGAGATGAGTACATAAGAATCTTTCAGCAAAGATTCTTGCCCAACTTCTATAATGGCCCGCTCATTCATCGCCTGGAAGCTTTCCGGCTTGGATCCTTTCACTGTCTAGATTCAACAACGCCCCCCTACCTCATCGCACGAGACCTGAAGATCACCAGCTTCGACGTTAGCGAGTCAAGTCGCACCGGAGTTTCACTCATGCACTCGGCAGCTGTGGCATTCGGTATTCGTTTCGCGGATGAAGTCATTCCGTGGAAAAGAGGTTGGGCCATGTGGACTATGTCACTCTATGATGAGGGATGGGGTCACTTGGTGCGGGAGGTAGCCTCAATTGCCAGACAGGAAGATTTACACACAGTCGAGATAGTGCAGCCCTGGGACGTGTATCAGGTTCCAACCTGGAAAGGCACACCCCTGATCTCAGTTATTGGAGGAGCCATTTGCTATCTGTCACCGGATATGAGTTTCTTTCACTGGGACAATGTTTTCCAGGGATGCATCCAGAAGTGGGTTTCAATCTTGCAGGAGAGCGGAGTTGACCTGATGCTCTATGGAGAACAAGAGTCCATCAATATTAGCAAACACTTTCGCGCAGCTTTCGATTCAGACGCAATCGAGGCATCGAGGAATGAAATACGGAACGTGCTGCCGTCATCGAGCGCGAGACTTACGTTTATTCGACCAGAGCGTGGTGAACGAGAAAGGTGGAATAAAAACCATTGGGTACCTATTCGACTTTTGAAACTCAAGTTTGGTCAAACACCTGAAGAATGGCAAATAAGTTGGGCACCAGAATTTGAATGCATGGCGAATGACTTTTGGCAGATGATAGAGAAAGAAAAAGAGGTCGTCATAATGCCTGGGTCATGGGTTGATGGATAACAAATGCAGTTGGCACGGCGAAAGCAAACAGCGATCATTTGAGTGACATATCTCTCATCTCCATCAAGAACTGCTGTTGCCATTTGAATATTCATTATTGATAGTCTGGTTCATCAAGGACAAGTATCTAAAGTTACCTATATTTGGTAAACAAATCTTACAGAATACCTACGTACCTAGATCTGGTAACGGTATCTTCATCAGCAGCAAGCCGTGGCCCGTGCCGCTGATATAGTCTCCTGAAGATTCCACATCTTGCCATCCAACCATTTGTGACATTACAATAAGCGTATCTGGTTATCATGCCACTTCAAACTCAGCCTATCTACTACTTCCTACTGGCCTTACCTGTTTACCTTTGGTACACACACATGTGCTGTACCCCGCCGTGTAAGGCGGGGCAACTAACAAGCGGTCCCGTCATGACATACATCCGTTCCTACCCAACCTTGATCCCATTCATCTCAATCTTATTCTACATAAACCTTTAGCAGATCGTCCCTGTGACATTCGATCTTAGGTATGAATCATTTTGAAACTACTATGACGACTATCCGACCAGCAGGAAAGGCCGGCGTATGGTACCAGAAAGACCCGAAAGATTTACGCCCTGAGCTGCAAAGCTACCTAACGGCAGTCCCGGAGAGTTTGGATGGAGTTGCACTGCCCATTCCCGGAGCCCGTGTTATCATCGCCCCGTGAGTTTGCCTGGAGAGTACATTGATATAATTTTGAGCTGATGACAATGTGCTGCAGCCATGCGGGATATGAATTCTCGGGACCGTGTGCAGCTTGGGCTTACAAGACCCTTGACCTGAGCCGTGCCAAGCGAGTCATCGTCCTTGGTCCATCTCACACTTACTATCTCGAGGGATGTGCAGCAACCACTTTTGAGACATATGCGACACCCTTTGGTAATCTGGAGATAGACACAGAACTGGCCACTGAGCTCGAGGATGCAGTAGCAATGGAGCCTATGGACAGAAGGGGGGAGGTTAACGAACACTCTCTTGAGATGCATATGCCGATCCTTTACCTCCGCTGCCAGGAAACCTTTGGCTCACCTGATAAGTTCCCCAAGATTGTGCCCGTGCTCGTGGGAAGCAATAACAGGCGAGAGGAGAAGGCTATAGGGCGAGCCCTATTGCCCTACCTCAGAGATCCTGAGAACGCCTTCATCATCAGCTCCGATTTCTGTCATTGGGGCTATCATTTCAGCTACCTACCTTACTCCCGTACGAAGAGTCCTTCTGATTTGATACGGTTGCAAAAAGATGGCCCCAAACCCAACGGTCCACCCATCCATGAGACGATTAGAGTCATCGACGAAGCGGCCATGGACGCCGTCGAGAGTGGAAGCCATGACGCATTCCTTGACAGTCTTAAGCAAACACGAAATACTGTCTGTGGACGCCACCCTATTGGTGTCGCGATGGCAGCTCTGGAGTTCATCCGACAAGAGGATGCGTTTCAAGACAAGGGGCGATTCCGTATCCTCAAATATAACCGCAGCAAGTTGGTTGATATGCCGAATGATAACAGCGTTAGCTATGTGTCTGCATATGCTGTTCTTTGAGTATGGAATTTCAACATGTGGGCGTTTTGGTGTGGTGGAATGATAGTCTTTGAAATCAGATGGAGTATCAAATGTATGTGCTGGACTCACGATGGGGGAAGAAGTTGTACTATCATTAGGTGGCCCTGGGGAGTCGAGAGATAGCGTCACCGTTAACAGATATGCAACTAAATAACATGATATTGGTAGGAACTGTGCGATCCGCAATTGATAGGAGAATTCAAAGTCATTGTTTGTTCAAGTAAGGTTCTCGGAATAAGCCTATGGTAGAGTCCGTCGGAAACGGATTTGGGCAGCTTGTTGGTTGGTGCTGCGCAGCAAGTTTCTGCGGCTGAAATATGAGATGGATGGCTGGAAGGGTGTCAATTGTCCCCGTCCCTTGAACGGCAGAGTAAGACGAAGGATACATTTGCTGGTGGAGCTGGCCAAGGGCATAAGCAACGGGAAATTACGAGATACATACAAATATCCCGACTTATCCTCCAGTAAAAGAGTTGCTATTACTATAAGGTTGATATGCTATAGATGTAATCATTTCCGTGTTCGACTCTATACCAGTGACAGGACAAGATGAATGATGGTTCCTCAATCCGAAAATACCACGAATAGCTCCTTGGCGATGCCGCTCCAGACCCACGCGGCGAAGCTTAAGTTCGTTGTTCGAGACCCCCTGGTCAAGGTCAATCTCGAAAGGGTGCGCGCCATTTTGCAGAGCTGAAGGCCTAGCGCAGGATCGCAGGGCTCACTCAGGTGGAGGTTGTCAGCCTGCAGATGGACGGATTCAATTGCTTCAGTTAGCGGATGACACCAGAGACTTTGTTTATGAATCAGAGTTTGAAGCTTTTGGTGATGATGTCGGATAGTGCCGGTGGGTGCTATGATAGTCGGGGACGAAAGAGAGATTGGATATAAAACACCAGACTTGTTACAGAATTCTCAGTCTGAGTCTGAAGAAACCAGGATTAATGGAGAGCAGGCGCCCAAGGATGAAACAGTGGAGAATGCATCACCAATGAACGATGCTATCGAGGGACAGTGGTTATTTCGGGATATACCCCTTGTTCAGGAGTGCTAGACAAAATAAGGTGGCGAGATCGATTATGTTATTTAGCGGTAGCGTGTAGGCTTGAATCTGTCTCCTATTCTCCCTCTAAGCCAAAATCATGTTAAGCTCATTTATAGCTAGGCTGCTGCATGTCTCTGGTGCCATTCTATGATGATCCAATTGAATAAGTGTCGCATGATTAACCAGACTCTCAAAGTGTTTCTGGCTGTTGCAGCTCTGGTTTTGAGCACCTTTATCATGGCATCGCGTGCGATCAAAGGGGCTGTTTCGAAGCTGATCATGACGATGCGAACCTTGGCACTCGGCCAAAACAACCAGAGAAACAGAGTCTCCTACGTAGCCGTCGTACACTAGAAGTCGCAACTGGAATCAGATTTGCATGTCTTGACCCGACTATTGGACCCTGCATCGCCATCCAAGAGAGCAAAGAAAGCAAAGGGGCTTGCACAATACGGAGTAAGCATGGTGCTTGTACGGAACTGGGCTAAGCTAAGGCAATCTCTAGCCCGCTAAAGGCAGTGAGCGGCGTCCAAGCGCCAGTGCCTTAGCCTCCACCCTCACCCCCCAGGCCCGCTAACATTTCAGTGGCTAAGTGCTACTCTGCCACTGCCACTGCCGCTGCTACTCAACACCTCCACTAATCTCGTCTCGCACTTGCTTGGGCTGGGCTGGCACTCCCATTCCTGCCCTGGCTGGGGCCTTCCTTGCCGCCTCCCGTCACGTCTCATTTGCACCTTCCTTGATCCTATTTTTCTGACCTTAACTCTACACCCTCCCTCGTCTCACTCGACTCTCTTTTTCATTCACTTGCCGTCTTTTCCTTTTTTTACCTTTTTCTATCTCGTCAGTAGTTTACGCAAGTCTCGATCATTCTTCTCTTTGGTCGTATATATCCACGAGCCTTTCTCCTTTCTCTTTGCTGCGCGACGAGAAACACCCACTCTAAGCAAACCCCTTCCTTGGCAACTCGACTCGATTCGAAAAGCGACGAGAGAAAAGCAATTAATCAGAGACAATCCTCGAAAAACGACCAACCTCCGGTGAAAGGAGGTGAAATTCGTCGAAACCAAAACATACAGCACAGCAGAGCTCCAGCTCAGTCACTACAATGAGTGTTAGTTTGCGCCTCCTACCCAACCCTCTCCTATTGATCCCACTCCAATTTGGAGTGTTTCCCATGCGACGCCAATTGAGCTTGTAGCCTATCGCGACCTGCTGCTTTCTATCCCAACTGCCTAAACCGCTTTCCATGAATAATTTGCTGACTTTTGTTATAGTACGGGTACGTTTTGCCTGAGTTGTCGAATATAGCTTACTCGGCTTGCTTACTGACTCTGACAACAGATACGGTGGCCAAAATCCATACGACTCCCCTGACCAGGGCTATGGTGGTAACAATGGTTATGGCAATGGCGGTGGCTACAACAGCCCACCCGCTCAGGGTTATGGAGGTGAGAATTTTGGACTCAAAGGGTTGCTCTCTTCCACCACATACTGACATGGCTTTGAGGGATAGGTAGCGTTGAGATGGCTCCCCTTGCCCACAACGCCAGCGGCTTTGGCCAAGGCGACCCCAACGCCATTCTCAATGAGTGCCGCGACATCGACCGTGGAATCGACACTGTTGAGCAGAACTTGGAACAGCTCCGTATGATCCAACAGCGAACTCTTGACGACGCCGACAGCTCAGGTTCCAGTGCCGCCAGCCGCCAGCTCGACTCACTTTCCGCTGATACCATGTCTCTCTACCGCGAGCTTACCGAGCGAGTCCGCACCGTCAAGTCTAACCCTGAGGCGAAATCGCCAAAGAACAACCCTCATGTCACCCGCATTGACCGCCGTCTCAAGGCTGCCATCACCCAATACCAGCAGGTCGAGTCACAATTCCGAAAACGCACACAGGATCAGATGGCCCGACAGTACCGCATTGTGCGCCCAGATGCTTCCGAGCAAGAGATCCAGGCTGCTGTTGAAGACACCACAGGAGGCCAGGTCTTTAGCCAGGCCATGATGCAGAGCGATCGCCAGGGTCGTGCCCGTGCTGCTCTGAGCGCTGTTCAGGATCGTCACCAAGCTCTCATCAAGATCGAGCAGCAAATGGTTGAGCTGGCTCAGTTGTTCCAGGATATGGACACACTCGTCGTTCAGCAAGAAGCTGCCGTCACCCAAATTGAACAGAAGGGCGAGGAAGTCGTCGAGAACCTCGATAAGGGTAACGAGGAGATTGGTGTGGCCGTCAACACTGCTCGCAAGACACGCAAGAAGAAGTGGATCTGCTTGGGTATCTGTGGTATGTATTCGCAACCCCAACCTCATATGACGCATCTCGCTAACTTATCTAGTTGCTATTATCGTTGTCATTGTGATTATTGTTCTCATCTACATCTTCGTCATCAAGGGACAAAACAACAACAACAAGAAGCGAAGTATCGAGGCTGCCATTGGCAGCTTGCCCGTTATGCACACAGCTGTCCTACCTGCTCGCTTAGCCCGTCGTGTTGCTGCCGACAACACAGTATCTATGCTCAACAGTGTTGGTGGAGGACGATTCCATCTACCTCAGCTACCGCGGAACTAGGTAGGGGTTGAATGATGAGAGACTGGCTCAGAGGCGATTACCCTCGAATGACGAGAAGGCGATACTTGTATTCATTGACGAATACATACGCGCTTTAGAGAAGTGAGCTGGGATCGTGTGGAAGTAAACGCAGTGTCAGAGCTGTATTTGTGTTTTGCGTATTCCCATTGGATTTGGACCATAACTGTTGCTATAGCCCGATAGCCCGCCTTTTTTCTTTTTTGTTTATACAACCGGGTTTGACTCTGCCACTCTTCTGGCGTTTGATTTCCTTTTCTCTTTGCATTAGTTGGAGGCGTTTATAGTATGAACTTTTAATTACATTTTCGCTTCCTCACTTGTGTTGGTGTATCGTGATGTTTTGACTTGGATCTAGTATTTAAATTGCTAGTTAACAATCTGACACGCTCGACACCCATAATTATCAGACAAACCCTATACGCCAAGATGTATTCATTCATTTTCAAAGGTGTCTGGTCCACCTGAAACTGTCATGACCCATATTCCTCCGGGGACATCTCAGTATAAGCCGAAGGTTCAAAAGCCTTAGTCTTGTAGAATCACAATCTGTAGATGCGTTAGCATGGTGGAAACCTTGACAGCATGCAACTTACCACTGTTGATGGCACGTTTCCATCTTTGCCGATACAGAATCTCAAACTCATCAGAGCAAACGGAACTTCTCAGGCGAGTTCCTATCAGTCATTCTCTGCTTTCGCCTTCCCCTTGTCCTCATCATAGTCTACCACCGCTTCATCAGGGGCGCCATCGTCTTCTTCTGCATCGTGAATGTCTTCATCCTGTCCTATTACCAGACGCCTCTTTTCAGCCTCATCAACCACCTTCTTTAGCACTCCCATCCGTCTGCGGAACTCTTCGGCCAAAACATCGACATCCTCTCCTCCTATGGCGCCACTGCCAGAACCAGGTAGGGACTCGGGTCGCATTTCAACGGGCTCTCGTTCGATGCCTTCAACACGGAGCATTAGGGCGCCAGCACCTCCGTTCTCTTCACCCTCGCTCTGCTGTACAGCTACGCTCGAGTTTGTCACGGCGAATTCGGGCGTTAGACTGGCGGCCCAGGATACAGCCCATCGGTTGGACTCGCCATCTGGAGCTGGCGCGAGATCTACGACAAGAGGTCGGTGCGACGGGTCTTGAGCACCGGCTGCGAGAATCGAAGGGTCGTCATCGGAGAAAACGTAGTGGACGCGAGGATGCACGGTAGTATTTGTGGTTGAGTTGGTCAAGAGAGTGAACAATGGTTCGAAGGGAGGCATCGTGCTCTCAATAGCTTCGTTTTCTTCGTCTGGAGTTTGATTACGGGAAAACTCCAAATCTGGGCCTTGTACAGAA